TGATTTGTCCCTTTTTCCTCATTTACAGATAGGAGAAACAGAAACCCAGAGGTATAAAATGACTCATCCAAGCTCACACAGCAGTTAGTGGAGGAACTAGGAATAAAACCTGGGTCTCCTTTCTCTTTGTGCAATACTCTTTTCACTATAGATAGGAATGTTAAACTTTTGGGGGACTCTGAGGAAAGCCAAATCCCTTTCCCTAGAAAAGTGCATGTACATTTCACATTTTTGTAAGTTTAGGGCATTTCAAACTGCCTGAAATCCATACATGAACACCAAGTAAAGAACTCTCTTTTACCTGCTGGTTCATACGTTTGCAGTACAAAGGGAATGGTATCCCAGTATTTATACTTGGCCAAACTCGTGGAGAGAAGCACTCGAAGAAGTCCTAGGTCTGTCCTCCCTTTCTCCCTCCCTCCCTTTTGTATCTTAATTAGACAATACATTTAGATAAGTCTAAGACTCTTCCTACTACTGTTCCTGATAATGGTCCCTCAAATTATTGCTTTTCTAGTTTTTTTTACATACATGTATAGCCACACAATATTGATAGATGCTTAGGATGTTTTCAGTTTTTCAGTATTACAAACAGTGCTGCAATAAATATTTTTTGCATGCCTTCTGACACATGTGCTAGTGTTTCTAAAGAGGTGAAAGACACAAGTGGATTTGCTAGGCATGTGACTTCAAAGTAGCTTTATCATTTTATATCAGTACCATATGAAAGTCCCCAGTTTCCCCAGAGCCTCAAATCACTGGATTTTATCAAATCAAAACTTTTTTCAGTGTAGTGGATAAAACCTGATATGTTGATTAAATAAATTGAACTCTTTAAAATATCTTTTCATGTTTATTAGCCATTTTACTTTCTAATATCTTCGTTCCCTTTGTTGGGATATCTTTTGGGCTTATTTGTCTTTTTCTTATGTATAGGAATCCTTTATGTATTTTTTTGTGTATTCTTGGTACCAACCTCTTCTGTTGTATGTTTTAATCTTTCTCATTTGGATCTTTCTGGTACTGGTTTTGCTATTTACTAGCTCTGTAATTGGGGGACATGGTTTGACTTCCACAGAACCATTTTCCTCCATTATAAAGTGAGAATATACTACTTCTTAGTTATTTTGTTACTGTGAAATGCCAGTGAAAGACTGTATGAGCTCTGTGATTTTGGGGTTCCTCCAGGCATTTTTTATTTCCACCAACCATTTTCTCAAATATAAAGTGAGAATACACTACTCCAGGTTTGTTGTGAAATACCAATGGAAAAGCATATGAAAATGCTTTGGAGAGTAAAGAATATCTTTAAATGTTAGCCTTTTTGTTTTTACTTGGCATTACTATGACTCATCCCTAGGACTTGGCTTTTGTGAAGCATCCCACATCGCCACAGAGTGATCAAAGTCAGGGGCGGGGTGGGTATCACACATGTCATTTGTCTCTTTTTATTCTGAACTCTCTTAGGGGAGGAAAGAGATGCATAAACAAGATATGCTCACATTGAATTTCATGTTCTTGGAATGCATTGTGTGGGATGGAGATAGAGAAGAGAGACTTTCATTTCTTCGCCTCTCACAGTACTTACCCCAAGGACATAGTAGATCTGCCCATTTATGGAACCAAAAGTCTACAAGGTTAGAATTAGCTTGTCTTTTGTTACTATTCTGGCTACTTCTCAATTTGAACACAGGTTTCGGAGCAGCTGTTCTGTTCTATGGTAGGGAGTATGAGGGTACAATCTCCTGTTCCCATTCCCCTTTGACCGATGACTCTCCTCTGCAAACAAATAATTACCTAAAGCACGATGCCACCCTAAGGTTTGCGGACACTCCGACCCAAATACCACCGTATACCTAGGCAACCCAGTGCCCGTGTCCTATGCCCCACACTTTGGAGGGCCCTCCTTTGGCCATACCCATCTCCTTCTAGACAATTCTCCAAGTACCCAGGACCCAAGAATTACCTGACATAGTGTTCTGAACCTACTTCCAGGACCTGCAGAGCCTCTTTCTGAGTCTGTCCTCCCAGGATGGACAAGCCATTAGACTCAACCCCTGATACAGGCTCTCCTAGGTCAGGGTGCCGAGGGCAACTACTTGAGAGGCATGTTCCCAGAACTTAAGTGTACTACCTTGAATGTGTGTGTATAAGGCTTCTTGAGGTGCAGGAAGGGACTGGAGTATGGAAAGAGAAAGGTGGATTAGGGGGCCAGGGTCCTCCATTGGTACTCTAGCCCAGCCCTGCAGCTGTCAGGGGCAGGTCTGCCCAGAGGAGCCTTCTGACCAACTGCTTATTTTATGGGTTAAAAAAAAAAAGCCATAGGGGAAAGGTTTTTTATCACAACCCAGTTAGAGACTGAGTTTAGCTGGCTCAATATAGACCCCAATTGATCTTTGAGAATAATTCTCAAAGAGAGAGGGGTGGGGATGTGGAATGGTGAATTTCCTGAAGGGAGAGTTTCTGTGCCTCCTCTCTGTCTGCCCCCTGGGTAGGCAGTGCTGCTGATGCTTTGTTAAAAGAAGAAAGGATTCTGCTGATACACTGTATTTTTGTGAAAGAAGGCTAAGGGTTCTCTTATCTCTCCACACAAGGCACATCTGCCTGCAAACAGGCTGTCTGCTTCTTAGGGATTCCCTTGTCGTTTTATTTCCTTTCTGAGTGTTTTAAGGCACAGTTTCGTGCATTCCTGCTTGTTCTCTAGAGCCAGGGGGAAAGTCATAATATATCAGGGCTCTTACTGAAGAGCTTAAAATGGGCGCTGGCAGCTGGGATGTGGGGGAAGAGAGCTTTCCAGGGACAAGTGACCTGCTTGTTCAGCCAATGAGAAGCAAGTTAGAGGAATGATATCACCAGACAGGCTTTATTGTCTGATCATCTCATAAAAGCAAGATTGTGTCTGGCAACTTAACCCTTTTTTAGGTACTTTGTGTCTCACCCACTCCCTGGTATGTGACCTTCAGATTTCTTTCCCAGTTGTCTGTTGTGAGACCAGAGAAGTTAAAGATTTAAATGGGTGAAGAAATTTAGAGAGTTGTAAATTATCATTTAAAAAATACTAAAATTTAGAACCACAGCTAAAATGGGAATGTCAGCTGAGCTATGCTTGAAGGCCACATCTGAAGCGGATATTGGTCTTAGTCATGTTATATCAGACTGTTTCTATATAGGTTTGGGAGAGAAAGAAGCTTAAAGGGAAAAAAGATTTAGCCTTTAGTCTATTTTAATCTATATGATGGGATCTTACTAAGTACTTATTTCCTGTTTTGGAGGAGTTGGAGTTGGTTCTGCAGATTTGGAAAATATCACTGATCCCAAGGACAATTTCAAGTAATAGATATTTGTAGTGTCTGTTTATATTGTATTTCTTTATTGTCTGTCCCCCCTCCCTCTCTCCACCAACCCCTCACACACACACTCCATAAAAATGGTAAATTTTACTTCTTCATCCTTCCTTTTTTGTCACTGGTAAAATGAGGGTGATGATTCTACCCTATCCCATAAAGGAGTTGAGATTAGAAAAATAAAACTAATTTATGTGATTTTAGATTGTGCTATACACATGTATTATTATTAGGGTATTCATGTCTTACAAGCGTATGTTCATTCATTCCTGTGTTCAGCAGACTCTTTAAAAAAACACCTTCTTGATGCTGGGCATAGATACAGAGATAAAAGATATAGTCCTTACCCTTAAGGAATTTAAAACATTGTGAGGGAGACAGACAATAATAAAAAAAAGTCTCGTACATCTGTTGTGTTTACCATGCTCCAGGCCCTGTTCTAAGCACCTTGACATATATTAGCTCATTTAATCTTATAACAACCCTGTGAAATAGATCTTGTGTTTAGCTTCATATCACAGATAAAGAAATCGATGCACAGAGAGGCTAAGTGACTTGCCTAAGGTCACACACTAGTGGTAGAATTGGGACTTGAATCCAGACACTGCAGCTCTTGAGTCTATGATCTCAATCTGTGCTGACCAGTACAGTAGTCACTAGCCATATATGGCTTTGGAACACTCAAAATATCACTAGTACACATTGTATTGTGCTGTGCGAAATACACACTATATTTCAAAGACCTAGTCTGAAAAAAATATACAGAATACCTCATGTTGAAATTGCATGTTGCAGTGATAATATTTTGTACATACTGAGTTAAATTAAATATATTAAACTTAATTTCACTTTATTTTTGTGGTTACTAGAAAACTTAGAATTACATATGTGGCTTGCATTTGTAGCTTACATTACATTTTTATTGGACTGCGCTACTCTAAGTCATTACAAGGCAATAATAACAGTAATAATAGTAGGTGACATTTATTAAGCACTATGTGCCACATACTGTGCTAATACCTTTACAAACACTACTTCAGTTAAGCCTCCAGATAACTCTGTTCATTACCTCCATTTTATGGAAAAAGGAGGTTTTGAGAAAGTAATTTGTCAGAGGTTAGTCAACTAGTTAATGACATACCCCAAATTTGAAACCATTTATCTCTGACTCAAAAACCTGTATTCATTCAACATACTGTAACATCATTTCCAATTGTATCTCAGGGCATTTTCTTTGTGTTTATTTTATGAAGAATATTTAATATTACATACATCTGTATTTGGTGTGTAGAAGTTCAAAATAAAAATCACTAGGTCATTAATTAGACATCCCAGAAGGAAATCTCTTTTGCAGAGCCCTGGCCCTCAGTGAACACTGGCGCAATTGAGCACTGAAATGAAGCAGCAAGTCATCCTGTACAAATTGCATTTAATTTTCATTCCAGTAGTTCTCTCAGGTCAGTGGGCAGTTTATGTCCCAACACTCTTTATCTGTAGAGAATAGGAAGAGGGGCATCGCAGCACTCCCTAGTTGTTTAGTTTTCTTGGCTGAGAAAAAAAAAATGCTTTCCATTTCATTGTCCCATGAAATACTGTTTGTGTTTGAGAGAGCAACAAAATGCTGTCTAATGACTCCTGATTTTTCTTTTTTCCTAGAGCAAAGACTCGGGCGGATTAAAGGCGGCTATGATAGAGTTGGTGGAAAGGTTAAAGTTCAAGAGCTCAGACCCTAAAGTAAGTATTGTTTAGAATTTATTGGATATTGGTACCCCAAGTACAGGTATCCCCCACTTTTTGGAATTTCACTTTACACCACTTGGCTTTTATGAAGGACCTACATTAGTACCTGTTTTCACTAACTGAAAGAAATCCAAAGAGAATTTTCGCTTTTATGAAGAAAATTGAAAATAGCCTTCAGACTTTATTTTGCAATAAGCTGTTATAGAGGCAGCACAATCCGGAGGAGCAAGTGGCCCCACCAAGTTCCTTCCTAAAGAACTACACTCAGCATCTCAGTATCTACTGCTAGAGCTTTGAACTGCATGTGTGAGCATCTGTGTTTTATCTCCATTTATTTTGTGCATCCGTTAGCAAAATGTGTCCTAAGATATCAGAAAAACCTAAGAGAGCTCCTGAGGGTGTTCCGCTTAGTGTAAAACTGGTAGTTAAGCATATTTGGTATGATTTGGTAGGTATTTTTGGGGTACTTGAAACACTGGAATTTTTTTCCAAATAAATTAATGGTAAATGCTCTTTGCTTTATGCCATTTCGGCTTACGAAAGTTTCATAGGAACAGAGAAACCTGCATTTCATTCTCCTTGAGCTAAGTTCAAGGCATGTTAACTAATAATCATCTGTCAGAACACTGCATCAAGATCTGATTAAGCCTGCCCATCAGAAGCAGCATTCTAATATGCCTAGAGATAAGTCATCTGTTTTCCCCTTTCTGTATTTTATGACTTACAACACATAATCATTAATTGTTTTCCCTGAACTGCAGACAAGTGCATTTTTAATCTTCCTTTACCGGGCCTTTGAGACTATTGTCCTCTGTGTCCATTAAACTCAGCCAAAGGCCTCTGAGATACTGATCAGCTTAATGCTGGGGATGGGAACATGCTCCAGACCCATCCAGTTGGTGTTCAGCATTAGCATTTTTGTCTCTTCCCAACTTACAGGAGCCAGCTGCTGTTGTGAATGCTTTTGTCCTCATGACCTGGAGTCTAGTCTGGGAAATAGTTTAAGCTTCTTAGCTCTCAGCTTTTTGCAAGATGCTGGGGCTGTCGGATTGATATTCTGGGAGATGCCATACCAGGGTGGGGGTCAACTGGGAACTGAACATGCTGAAGGGATTATGACTAACACAGCCTCCCTTCTCCTACCCTGATACTTATTGTGGTACTACCTGGTCGTGGTACCAGCTGGCTCTGCCTGAGAGTCAGAGCCTCTTATAGTTAAACTAGGAAAGAATCATGATTATTTGACTTTTTGTATCTCCTTTTTTTCTTTCATTTAAAGTTCTTTATAAGTGGAATAAAACTAGCATTTCTTGAGCCAGGCACTGTGGTAGGAGCCTTACATACTTTTAAAAATAATCATGGTAAAATATACTTAATCAAATTTACCTTTTTAACAGTTTTTAAATGTACAATTTAGTGGCTTTAAGTACATTCACGTTGTTGTGCAACCATCACTGTCATCCATCTCCAACACTTTATCTCAAACTGAAACTCTGTATCCCTTAAACACAAACTCCTTATTTCACCTCTCCTCTTGCATACTTGTGATTACTTTCACAACTCTATAAAGTAGCTTATTGTTCCCATATTATTGAAAAGGACACTGAGGCTCAGAGAGGTGGGGTCATTTGCCCCAAATCTAGTATAATTTAGAGCTGTATTTAAACTCTGACTCCAGTGCTTGTGCGCTATCTTTTATATCATGCTGCAGACCAAGCCCTGGGTTTCATCTCCTTTCTACCATATAATCATATTGTGCCTCTGTTTTCAAATCTGAAATACTGTATGAGGCAGAGCCACAGAAAATGACAGGCTCTTCAAAAGTTGGCTGCAGTCACCAATCACAGAATAACTTTCTTTTCATACAGCATTGAAAATATTGGGGCATTGGTAATTTTCTTGTCTTCTGATGTAGTTAGGGTTCCAAAGGTAGAGTGTATCTTGATAGAAAAAATTGGGGTAACCAGTCACCATAAAAAGACCCCTGGTATAAGTAGTTTTCCTTTAGTGAAGATGAATCAATTAATTATTAAAGATCACTGAAAGCTTTTATTTTTTAACCAAGTTTCTCTGGTTTCTGGACAACAGCTCTATTGTATGTTCTGTTTCTGCCACACTCACATGCTTTTAGGCAGTGAAGATGGAAGGGATATGTACAGATTACACTGAGTGGCTTCTGTGCATGATGAATACAGGTAAAGTGCTTCAGGACCCTTTATGAATGCACGTAGTACTTCTGATGGGAAGCTTGCCAGAGGTGAAAGAATTGAGTATTCCCATGAGATCATCCCAGGAAAGCCTCAGCATTGTCCCATGATACATTATAAGCTGAAGGATATTTGTTAGGACCTCGCCTGATCTTGGATATGTGTATACACACTCACCTCTCTTTTATCTTCTCTTTATCTTGCCCTGGATTATTTTCCACCAACCAGTTTTATTTTCAAACCTCTTTCTAGTCAATCATATGCATGTGCTGTATCTACCAGGAGCCAGCTTGAAGAAGGACCACTGTAATTATAGAATGACTGCCAGATCACAAAGCGGGGGGAGGAGAGGAATGGGACACCTAAATACATAATTTCTGCAACAAAGGCAATTTTCCCAGCAATGAATTGGTGTCTTCCAAGAAAACCCTTAAGTTTTGAGTCTGTTCTGTTTTCCCTCAGAACCCCACCATACCTTTTTAGAAGTTGGCCTGTTTAAGAAAGACACAGTCTCTCAGGCTTCATGACCTGTCATTTCCTGGTACAGCAGCTACACATAGAAGCACTGATTGAGTCATGGAGCACTGAGCACTATCTCTACCTCACTTCCTCCGGAATTCCCTAAAGCATCACAAAGCTTGATTAGTCCAGACACTGAAGTCTTCTGGGAACAGTTAATTTTTACCTGCAGATTGTGCCAGAGGAGTGGAGGATGCCTAGATTAACCATTTTTTAAATTTAAAATAGTATATACTTATAGATTAAAAAAACAGATATCCATAAAGGAAAAGTAAAATGAATTTCCCCTGAGGTAACCACTTCAGCGGTTTATTGTGTAACCTTCTAGGCATTTCCGTGTGAAAATAACAGTTCTAAGATTTTTTTAAATTACACTCTACCTATAGTTTTATTACACAGAATATGTTAGACATTCTTCTTTGTCAACAATATAAACTTGATAAGATGCCTCATTTTGTCCAAAATATTTGTCAGACTCCTTCTTTGCTTTCATAGTATTAGTTCTTCAACTTGAGTTCATCAACTTTATTTTTTTAAATATATCTTTATTGATTTCAGAGAGAGGACAAGAGAGGGAGAGAGAGACAGAAACATCAATGGTGAGAGAGTCATTGATCGAGCCCACAACCCGGGCATGTGCCCTGACCCGGAATTGAACCCCTATCGCCTGGATCCCAGGTTGTCGCTCAACCACTGAGCCACGCCCGGCTGGGCGAGTTCATCAACTTTAGTGTACATGGAATCACCTGGAGGACTTATTAAAATACAGGGTTTCTGATTCAGTAGGCCTGGCATTACTAGAGGCTGTGCTGGACCTTGGCTATGTTCCTTCTCTCTTATTTTGATTCGTTTCATTCTTTTTAGCAAATAGCTGAAGACCCCTCGTAAATAATTTCAAGTGCCTTCAACTTTGAAAAAAATGAAATACATAAAATTCAGGCTTAGAAAATAAATAAATTGAGCCGAGGTAGCAAAGGGAGTAGGGGAGGGGAGAGGGAGGTGGACTGAAGAGTCAGCTCAGGCTGCCTGAGAGGACAGGATTCCTTTAAACAGTTGCCCAACAGAGAAATAGCAAGGCCAGAAAGAGAAGGAGTCCTGGTCAGAATTTAAGAGGAAAACCAAGGCTGGTGCTGTGGTCCAGCAGTAGGCTGACTTCTAAAACCAGGGGAGCAGCAGGAGACATCAAATCCCAGGCAGGAGGGGTGAACTTGAGGACAGGAATCAAAGCCAGTGATGGTTGGTAAATAAGGCACAGGAGCAGAGGAAGTGGAATGGATGCATGTTGCCATGGTGAGCCCTGTTTCAAAGGGAGCATGCCTCCAGAAATCTAGAACTTTGTATACAGTAGAAAGAGATTGTTTTTAAAGCAATCAGTCTTAATTTGCTTAATTGGAAGTGGTCTTTTCAATAATAAGACAGCCTAATGTGTTTGACATGATCCAGTTTGCAAACACCTTTTTCAGCCAAACTTTTCAGAAACATTTATTGCACTAAACAGGATTTTGTCTGTAGATTTCTTGTATTTATGATAGGCTTTAGGAACATTAAAGGATATAATTAATCAGTGTGTGTGTGTGTGTGTGTGTGTGTGTGTGTATGTATACTTGGATTTTTAAGATAAAGTATTCTTGAGTTTTTACAGCTTTCCTTTGTAGTGGCTAGGCAGTTAGTTCTCTTTCATAGTTTACCCAGAGGAAACTGAAGGTTGGAAAACACATTGATTCCCTTCTCTTCCTTCTCCCTGCCCAGTCTCAGAAAGCATTGAGCCAAAAGCATAACATGTTAGGCTCATTTAAACTAACCTCTTCCTATGCAGTTAGTAACAGCCACGTTCTCTATTATATTCTGGTTGCTTTTCTTTCCATCTAAGATGTGCTGTTCACTGTTTCCTGTAGTTGGCATGCTTGAAACAGTTAAAAACACAGCTGTGTGTCGCAAATTCATACTTATAAGAAGTTACTCTAAAAAAAAGAAGTGTCTTCAAACTTGAACCAAAGGGGTTCACATTATTTTGTCCAACTGGAGTGGTATTAAATGTGGAATGTGGTCATACAAGGCTGCCTAAAATATATCAGCTTTTTTCCTTCTTATTTTCTCCAATTTCTAAAGGTGTTCATACCAAAGTATGAAACCAAAGAGTTGTCAAGCAGCATAGAATTAGTTAAATAGATCTGAGACTCGTTTTCTTATTTCCTTATTTTTATTTAGCATATACATAGCATTTTATAATTGCAAGGGAACTTTGCAATCCTTTTTAATAGCTGATAA